TTCAGTTTCAGTTCAGTTTCAGTTTCAGTTTCTTCTGTTGCGCATCTAGTGAGTTTCTGTTTAGTTTGGGGTATTCGTGTCCCCGGTTAGGTGTTGACGCAGATTTTTCGGGAGGGCTGGAGTTTCAGTTTCAGTTTCCGTGGGCTTCGTTATGCCACCAAGAACACCATGGGGATAGCATGTCTTGCCTAAGGAGTCCCAATGTCTAGCTCGCGAATGAGTCAAATTCAACACACTCACTTCTAACTCACTAGATGTCTGGATACTCTACGTATCCTCACCAAACCCAGGACTTTAAATTGGCCTTAAACCCTACAACCTACACCCGTAACCGATCTAAAGACGCCTTAACTGCCGAATTCTAAGTCACAGTCCGAATCTCTAAACGAATAAATGCCCAAAGCCCTTCCAAGCATGGGCAGTTATGAGTCCCTGGCTATAAGTTACAGCTATAGTTATGCAACTTATAATTCTACATCTCACTGCCCATGAACCTCAAAGTAAGGTCCCCGAGTCTGAAAGCCCGAAACCCCCACGAACAATGTCAGAAACTTGCCTCGGTGTAGCCCATACGCCGCTTCTCCTCGGCCACCGGCATGCTCATGGAACCTAACCTCCCCGCCGTGAAAAAGGATGATTTGTACACTTCGAATATCAAGGCCCTGAAAACTAAGAGCGTGTAACAATCAGGCGTCTGCATAATCTCCCTAAACTGGGGATGTCTCCTTGGCGCCTGACAGATACCTGGGTAACCCCCTACACCAATCTTGGCAAACCTGGTAGGACTCCTGAGCCCTCAAACCTAAGAAGGCCTATAGGTGGACCCAGTAGCTCGAACCGTATACTAGCCAAATACCACTAAAGATGGAACTGAGAGTAGAGAGTTTACTGCTTAACGTAACTGCCCCGAACAGCCCGTACAGCAGTCGGCGAATCGGTCCTGCATAAACGTAGCACGACAAAACAAATGGGATTTGCAGATTCCAAGCCAAGACGGGTCTGCTGCTCTGCTGAGAAATGCAGGGCGCTTTTCTTCCACTGGCTTTCCATGGAAACCCACACTCCATGGTAATTACTCCAGCTTCTCCCCCAGTGACGTTTGGTGGTTTGCAAACCACAACCTTAAACTCGACCCTTTAAGGAAGCCTAAACATGTCACCCCTCAATGCCAGTCAGGGGACCGCTTCTGTACGGTTGTCCACGCCGTGCCTGGGAAAGTGCTGGGGATTTTAGGTTGTGGGCTTCATGGGTGTGGAGTGCAAGCTTGTAGGAAGTCGCATGACGGTTATTCAGGGTTCAGGTTCTATAGGGATCAAGATGATCGAGTGTTCTTGAGAATTGCGGCATAAGGCCGGTTTGAGCATAGCAAAGTTTGTTACATTGTTAGGACATAATAATCTAGGAACTACACATGGGTAGTTCTCTAAATTTAAGGGACAAGTTCGGCACACAA